ACGCTGACGCGCGGCCAGAGAAGTCTAGCGAGCGGGGGCGGGGGCTGGGTGACGTGATACGAGGTATTGTGTCGTACCTAGCCTCGGTAGGTGAACCGCCTGGGGCAGCGTAGTAGACCATTGTGACTATAGAAATCGCGAACCACAAGATGTGAGCTGATACGCCTCGCCGAGGAGGGATAGCAAACATGATGTACTAGCCACTATGAAAATTATTACAAAAACATTATTCCCCCTCTCGATATTCCAATATTGCCATTCTTAATGGTTATAGGCCGCTAAATAAAGCGGATAAGGTTAATCTAGCATGTTTCGCAGATGTTTTATCTTCCAGGCCAGAAATCTCACTTATATGTGAGTAGAATCCGGTAGGGGGGGATTGGCCAAAACTAGTTTTGGTAACTTCAATTTTGACAAGTCAAAACCAGCGAGATGGATATGGTTCACTCTCAAAAGTACTTCCGTGCTTTGAATCATATGTGTACGTGCCCTAGTTGTCGAGAACTGGCGGGCACGAGGCGCTCAAATTCATCTGAATAGCATATTCTGCAATACTGGTCTCAGGCGCTATCACATTGACTGGCACTTATTTCGACTCACGGCTCATTGCAGGTCAGTACATATTACTTAATTGAATTGCATGTACAGCTCGCTAAAAGCAAAATACTATAGGAGTAGAGCTTTGGACAGATTACCAGGCTTTGATACACAACCCAGCCCACCGGTACCATTATCTAATATGAACCCTTAGCAAAATCGACATTCCTCGTGACCTTGGCGAGCAGAGTGCCGTTTGCTCTCCACCTCTGCATTCCTTGTATAGAAATTGTTCATGAGCCAGCAGCATGCGATTTGCGACCTCCATTAGGACTCTATGCAGAACGTGCCGCATACTTGATGCTCATACGTCAAATTTTGTGCTTGCTACTCGGTGTCCCAAATGTCCAAGCCTTGCCGTTCACCCCATGGCCAGCAGACTTCATACAAGGCACGTAGTTTGATTGTTTTAAATGTTATGCTCCAACCTTTAAAGCAGGACGAGTACCTCCGTAGCTGTTCAACGAAGTATTGAGCGGGAACTCGCCACTACACACAATGTAAATATCATGCCTCCGCCTAAATCTTCACTGACTTCCTCCAAACAGGAGAGTGACTCGCCTCATTACTCCGATGAACAACTTCGGGCTCTGTACAAAGACCTGTTTGCCTCGCCCTTCCCGCCGCTCCCTCTGCTATTCACACCGGCAACTTCTCCTGGAGAGACACTTTACGCATTACGCGAGCGATTTAACTTGGAATACGAAACCGAGCCCACTTACAAGACGGTGATCGATCACGTGGAACGCGCCTTGGAGTTCATCGCCATCGACAAAGCCGACCTTCCCAAACTTGGACTTGTCCTTGACTCGGAGTGGGAAGCTATCGTCAAGGCTGCTGTATGTGGTTTGAGCCAAGGAGTTTCAATGACTGATCGAGATGTAGCTTGATGCCAGGGACATAGATTATGGACTCAAAGTACTTGAAATCATGGTGGTGCGTCGAAGAGTAGTATTTGATCGTCATTTATTGATCACCAAGTAGAAATATGGGGTAGAATTGCCCGAGAACTTAGACGGGCGCTTGCTAGAACACGACTCGTTATTAGATGTGGATCAATTTGTAGTCTTTAGCGACAAACTCACCGAAAGTAAGTTTTATATGCTGGTAATTGGCAGGGAACTTACTTCGAGAAAGTTGGATACCCACTCACGCCGGAACGTATCTCACGATTTATCAACATCCACCTCCAGTCGCTGCAACAATCGTCCTTCGAACATGTCAAGGACGCACAAAATCTCATCCACAAATTCGAGGCCCAGGGAACTCCACCATCTCAGGCTGGCTATGCTTATGTTATTAATGCCTATCTAGATTTATCTCGGGAGTCTGACTTGCTATCTGGCGCCAACCCTTCTGCTGCTATTGCAGCAGCTCATGACTTGTTTGCTCATATGCGCTACGTCGCGCACCCTGTTCCGTCACTCAAAACATATAGCCTTATCATCTCAGCTTGCTCTCGAGGACACCAAGTCAACCCTCTTCGCGCACTCGAGCTGTTAAAAGAAGTTCGGGATGGCCTCCTAGAGGGCAAGCCTCACTTTTTGCAGCCCAAGCTGGATACTCGTTCTCTTATTGACTGTTACAACGGGGCTATTCGAGCTTGTGCACGTGCTGGACCGAGGTTTGCAGGAGATGCATTCCGGCTTGCCAAAGAGCTTGTGCAACGTGATGGAATTCCTGTCGCGGGCACAGCGATTGGCAAGATTGGACCTGATAGGACCACAATGACGGCGCTGATGCATTCTGCCAAGCGGATGGGAGATTTAGGACGAACACGTTGGATCTTAACAGAAGTTATGAGGGCGCAGACCTATGCTCTACAACAGGCTGAACTCCCCAGAGAATCCGAGACTATCTTGGATGAAGAGATCATGGTGTGCGTGTTTCAGACGTATTCGGCATTTCGACCTCCGTTCAAGAGAGGGCTAGTGCAGGAAGTCGACACTGAGGGGCAAGGGGCAACCCCTAACACCAACTCTGAATCTCTCGTCCACTCGGCTCAATCGCCTCACCCCATTCCTCAATCAGCCTCCGAATCGTTGTTCGAGGCAGATGCCCTCTTTTCGCGTATAATGTCAAAACGGTCTGAAAATCCGGATCCGTCGTTTACACATGTTCCCATCAGTGCACGAATTCTAAATGCCTATATCGGTGTCTATCTCTCCCATGCATCGCTTCAACAAGCCCTAGATAAACACTCGACGATATTTGAGGAGCCTGGAATGCCCGGGCCGAACATTTATTCCTTCATCGCTCTTCTCGAACGGCTAGCGTGTGCAGCCAAACCTGATCGGCCGCTTGCACTGAACGAGGCAAAGAAAGTCTGGCAGGCTTGGTTGAAGTGGATCGAACAAGTGGATGATGGCTCTGTTGATTCAGCGCTTGCGGAAGTAACACCTCGAGGGATAGAGCGGGCCTGGGCTGCGATAATCAAGGTTCATAGCCTGTGAGCCCCCATCTCTTCGCTCTTGTCACCTTCGCTAACAGACGCATTAGGTGCGATGAAATTGACGCCGCTCTTGCTCTCCTCCGCGAGTTTGTTACAAAATATCCACCTACCAGTCTCAAGCAGCCACATCACCTTGCTCCTCCCTCGCATCGCCCCTTATTAGAGCACGCGCCACCAACAAATCCGAGCCGTGGCCTTTCCGATCTGTTGACCACACCTCCACCACGAGTCGGACTGCTGGTGAGATTCGCCACGCCGGAGCAGATTACGGAACCGGGAGTTCCACCCCACTTACTATTCACGGACCTTGCGCTGTTGCACCACAGACTCGTCGCGCGGCACTCCCACCGCCGAGCAGATATCGCGTTTGTGACGTGGGTATGCAAGTCCTACGAGCTTCAGATGAAAAGGCGACGGGACCGGATGATAGGAGTACTTAAGCAGTCCGAGCCCGAGCCGAGAGAAGGGCGAGGGAAACGAGATGCATCTGTGTCATGCAAAGGCACGTTGTCATAACATGATGCCCAGTCCAATTGTGTCTGTTCCGTAGTTGCCAACAACTTTATCTAAGCGCATCTGTGTACATATCGACCACGAGTTTGTCAAATCGGCGCATCAGGTCGAGGCACAGATTATAGCATGTTAGCCGGCAAGTACGGCTAGTAAGAATGAGAAAATCTGCAGTGAATTAGTCAATAAGGTTATTTGATGTAGATGCGAGACAGCCAGTCCTGGGGTCGATCGATCGAATGTGGGGATTCCAAGGCCAAGGACTCTAGGGTCGATGTCCCCCAAGACAAGCGAGACAGATAACACGAGGGAGAACGATGAAATTAATCCATAATTCAAATAAATGGCGTGTCCATCAGCATATGTCAGCCAGTACGCAGGAAGTCCAACGTGAAATGGCATAGACTAGGTGTCAGTGGATCCTACGCACTGATGGCCCGCTCGTGAGGTTCTCGCCAAGGCTACGTTATGAGAATAGAAAACATGTGCGTACCACGCACGACACGGCCAACGTTAGCGTTAGAGGTAGTGGTTGAGAAACAGGAGAAGGTTATCAAAGACGAGCTGGATTAGGGACGAACAATTGCGTACCACTCCCAAATGATCGAATATCTCCCGCTCTGTGCGCGACGCGACCAAAACCCCTGCGACAAGAAGAGAGCTCAGCCACCTAATACCCTTCCAGACGCCCAACTCACCTTCGTTGTGCTTTTTTTGTGTTTTGGGGTCGCGGATAACACCCTTGAATAGACCTCGTTGATTAAGCGACATCCCCTTCTTCCGCGCCAGTAGTCGCATGCTTCTGTTAAACTGAATCTCCTGTTGGATATT